CCCTATAATGTAAATTCCATCACATTTTAGAGGTAATAGATACAGAGAAGGGAGGGAATTGGTCTGAGCAAGGGGGCTGGGAGGGGAATTGGGCTGGAATTTTATACAGGGTGATCAAGATAGGCCTCAATGAAGGTGACATGTGGGAGGCCTCATCAAGAAGCGATGACAAACATGAGTTCTAGGAAAATTACTTGTCATCCTATGGCTAGATCAAGTGACCACCAGCCTAATCCATGACCTTCTAGAGTCACTTGCCCCCAGCTGGCCTTTATAGCTGCACACAAGACAAAAGAGGTCAAGGGCCAATTAGAGCCCCAAGGTGGCCCTCCTCACATACCTGGAGCCAGGTTTTCCCTACTGCAGAGCAAGTGCTTGCCCCTGGGTTCATTCATCACTGCCAAAGCTCATCCATCAGCACCCAGCCCCCCACGGAGCCTCTAGAGATAACAAACTCCCTATCGCCTTCTTTTTCATTCAAATTGCATGTTGCTCAGATTCCAAAAGCTCTACGAAGTGGGAGGGTTGAAAAGGTTTATTTCAGAGAACTGGCACCCAAGAGCTGCCACAATTGCTGGCATTCCAGGGCACAAGAAACATTTGGCAAGAAACAAAAAACACTCTTAAACATGACTTGGTTCTAATTTCAAGACTCCCAGGCACCAAAATACATAGGGCTTTAGAAAAATACTCAGTAATCCTCTTATTTTCCTTAGTTGCAAAAGACAATGTTCACCATAGCACATACCCTCCCCAATGTCTATCACCCAGCCACCCCATCCTACAGGGGAGGGGGTGGGAGGATGGGTTGGCCTGGTGGTCGGTGTTGAGGAGGGCACGTTCTGCATGGAGCACTGGGTGTTACGCGCAAACAATGAATCATGGAACACTTCATCCAAAACTAATGATGTAATGTATGGGGATTAACATAACATAATAAAATAAAATAAAAAGAAATGAATGGATAATTGGAAGATTTTTCCATAAAACTGAAGTTATTCTATTAAAGTCTGTCCTTAAGTCAAAAAAAAAAAAAAAAAAGACAATGTTCACCTTCCAAACCTCTCTCTCTAGGAGAAGACCTCTCCTTTAGAAAAACCCTAGCCTAAGAAGGGTTGTTCTTTTGTGGGAACAACTTTGAAACACACGGAGCAGCCTCACTTAAAGGTTCCCAGTTTGGGGTTCCAGGGGAGAAACAGAAAGATACTGATGCCAGACCCTCCAATACAGTAACCCAGTAGAATTCGTGCCCCCCCCCCCAACCACCACCAGTGAATGGATGCAACAGAACACCCAGCACTTGCACTGGGGAACGTTATACATATTTCTAGGCTCATTTCAGAGCCCGTAGAACAAATACTACTAAGCCTATTATAAAAGTGTCCACAACCTGACCTCCAGAAAGAGCCTGCAATGACAATATCTGGAAAATGAGGCACTGTGATAAAAAGCCCCTGGGAGGCACATACCCTTAGGACATAATTACTCCCCAGGTTCAACGAAAGCACAATCAGATTTGAAACTTTTTTTTTTTCTTCTGGTTTCTAAGGTGCTGTTGCAGCTCAGCAAAGGCCCCTGGGAATTACTTTATCAGGGCTACTAGGAGACAGCTTAGCACATTCAGTCTTCCTGGAGGCACTGTTCTCAGGGCAGAAGCATAGAACTTTAGAATTTTACTACCCAAAAAAGGCTTGGGGGGGGGTTCCCAAGTCTGTGACCACATTCATGACCTGGGTGCCTGGGACCTAAGCTTCTGGCAAAGTGACAGGGGAGTCGGGAAGATCAAGTAAGAGACCCTCCTCAGCTTCTCATGCAATTCGTAGGAAGCTCTCGGTTAATAGAAAGGAAAGGTCACTTCAGTAATGAGCTCCCAAGAAGCCTCCCTGGGGAAGGGTTGGTGCTCTCAACAGCCTGTTCCTACTTAAAGCCCTGTCCAGGCTGCAGGGTGAGCACACAACCAAGTTTCCTAGGACAGCCCTGTTGATGGATGCTTGCTGTGCGAGCCCAGTTATTAAGAGCTCCCGATTTCATTCTCCTAAGTGTCGTAGTTTGGATGCTAAATTATATGGGTCCCCTAAGGAAGTGTGACTGAGTTCTAGAGCATATTTTGCAGGTTTACCTGTTTCATGGAACACATACCTCTCCAAGTCCACCACTGGTTTCAGGACATACTCTGGGCAAATTCTTTCCACGTCTCTGTAGACCCAGCCAGGAGAACAGCAGGGTGAGGTGGAGCCCAGCTGCCTGGGTTTGTATCTCAAGTCCCTCGCATTTAACAGCAGTGAGACCGTGGACAAGTTCTTTCTAACAGCTTCCATTTGAAATCAAAATGGCGATAAAAGTAATTGCTAAGAGAATATTCGTAATCAGTTAATATTTGTAAAGTGCTTAGAGCAGTGCCTGAAACAGGGTAAACACTCTATAAATGTCTGATAAGTAAAAAACAAATATGTAGTCTTTATGTCTAATAGGTAAGTGAATTTCTATAAAGGGATGGTGAGCTTCTAGTTCCCCTCCCTACTCAAGGACTTCTTGCTGACATAAATAAAACCTCCCTGCCCGATCCTGGGTGGTGCTGGCTAGGAACAGAGTGCTGCGGGCTTGGAATGGAGTAACTGCTGCTAGGAGGGTGCCCTTTTCCCAGACAGTATATAATCAACTACACTACAACCACAATTAAACCAGTTCAAGCAGAACAAAGAATCAGAGGCAACTCTCCTGGGTTGCAGTTGGCTGTCAGAGGTCACCAAATATCTCCGTCAGTACTTTTATGTGCTTAACGTGAAGAGAACTCTGCCTCCTCACATATTTGGCAACTGTGATTCACACTTAATGTATGTGATTCAGGACTTCAAGAGCGTCAAAGGTGCTCTGACAACAACCAATTTTAGATGAAATTCAGAGCAACCAATTTAAGATGAAAGCATCTCAGTATCTATCTCATGTATAAAATTCCATGTGTTGAATAAAAAAAAAAAAAAATCTCCTTAATTCTGCAGAGAGACACCTCTCCACCAGAGACAAAATAGGTGCTTAGGATAATCATCTCATAAAAGTGGGCCACACCACCCCATCCTATTGAAAACACAAATTATCAATCATCTAGATACCTGACTTTGGGAAAACATCAGCTTAGTCATTTCCTTTTCACTGTTGTCACCGTTTTGCCTTTGAGATCGTCTCAACCTTTCAGATCGTGTCAACCTTTCAGACATGATTTGAACACTCTATTAAGAGGATAAATTCTTATGCAACAGCTTCTTTGGAAGGAACTGGGTCCCTGAAGCGGTCTCAGCTACCTAAGAGGGCACAGCACCACACACACTAAAGACCTGGGAGAGGCACGACAATGGAATGCTAGATAATTTTATCAAGAGCTGATTTTAAAAGGTGGCTCAGAGGCGGGCATTGCATGCCTAAGTACGGATGCATTGGTTTTTAGCTAAACAGTCCTCTCAGACTCACTTCACCTTCGTTCTGTCTAGTGAGTCACAGAGGAGATGCGATTCCTAAGGTCTTAAAATTCTGAACAAATGCAAAGAATGCAAGTGAGGAGACCCCACACAAAAATATTAAATAAGAAGGCAGAGGGATATTAAGAACAAACACAGGGGCGCCTGGGTGGCTCAGTCGGTTAACCATCAGCCTTCATTCAGCTCAGTTCATGATCCCAGGCTCCTGGGATCCAGTCCCCCATCGGGCTCCCTGCTCAAAGGGAAGTCTGCTTCTCCCTCTCCCTTTGCCCCTGCCCCCGCTCGTACGCTTGCGCCTCTCTCTCTCTCTCTCCTCCAAATAAATAATCTTAAAAAAAAGAAAAGAAAAACAAAAAGTCGGCCTGGCGCAAGAAGGTTTTCCATCAACCTTATTTTCGAGGGCTAAGAAGACGTTCCCATCCAACATTTCCTAATAATTATTTTTTAATCAACTAAGAAAACCAAGTCATTTCCAGCACAGACTCTCAACTATGAAAGAGTTTTACGGCCCTCTAAAATAGAAGATAGAAAGGAGTGTAAGTATTCATCACCCATTTACTCCGATTTCATGAATTTAATGCAAATTTCCTTCAAAATAATGAAGATGAGCAGGGAATCGGACAAACCCTAAGTCAGACTCCACACCCCAAAATCCTACTAGCTCACATTTTAAAGAACCCGCTTTAGCAAAAAGGGGGAACTCCCCCGCCGCCCCGCCACATCAGGGGGCGCAACTTTCCAGCCCCGGGCAGGGCGGGGTGGGTTGGAGGGAGGGCAGGAGCGTTGCGTTCAACCCGGCGCTTCCACCCTCCATCGCTTCAACAAGTTCCCTCTCTAGGCTCCAGCAAATCACGCCCACCACCCAAACTCTCCGTGGAATTTTTCTCTCGAAACTGAAGACTGTGCGCTTCATTTTCACACGCAGGAATGTTTCCTCCCGCTCACTGCTGCTACTTCCCTGGCATTCCGTGACATTTTCCCACAACTACGAGTCCGCGCGTTCGCACCTCCACCCTCCAGCGGCCAACCCACTCCAACCTCAAACCGCACGCGGCCTGGATTCTGCGCCTGCGCCGCACCCGGGACCACCGCCCCCCCCCCCCCCCCGCGCGCAAGACCCCCTCCCCACTCCCGTCCTCCTTGAGGGAACTTGGGGTACAACGCATAAAGGTCACTCCTCAGTCTTCCAGAGCCCGCCGCGAGAAGCGAGAGAAATAAGCAACCCCGGAGCGCGGGAGAAGGGGGGTGGGGAAGGGGAGGCGGTGTCGGGTGGGGATGGGAGGGGAGGGCAGAGGGGAACAGGGGGGAGGCCGGATGGGACCTTGTCACCAGGATCCCCACACAGTCAGCATCCGGACTTAGGTCCGCGAGGCTGGGGCTCTCCGCCGCTCGACCTTTCGGGTTCTCCCAGATGGTCTTTCGGGGGCGTCTCGGCACTGCACCCCGCTCAGCCCCCGGCATTGTTCGCGCTCCGCTAGCGCATCTGAGAGGCGCCGGGGGAAGCGCGGCCCGGGCCTCGGCCCCTACCTCCACGAGCAGCCCGAGCAGCAGCGCCGCCACCCTCCGGGGCAGGCGGCTCATGGCTCCGTGTCGTCTCCGGGTGTGCCCTGCTATCGAGTCGCGGGCGCGAGTCAGCAGCACGTCCCCAGTGGCGCGGGCGACAGGGCGGGGGTTCGGACCCCGCGCCAGCCGGATTTGGGGGCGCGGGGCGGCCGGCGGCGGCGAACCTTAGACGCGCCGCGCTGCCCTCGC